TAGCCAGTAAGGTTTTCTTAAGGTTTTCCAGCTGATCTTGTTCATTCCTGGGCAGGAAACCAAAAGCACTGATAAGGCCAGCTTCAGATGGGCCTGACACATCTTCAGTTACTGAGACATGCTGACTCCCACATCCTTGCCTTTTCAAGGCCAGGTATGGGGAAGAGGCAAACTTGGTGGCATCTGGTACAGTTTTAAAACTGTTACGGAACTAAGGTGAGACAGAACCGAACAAGAAATTAACTTTTACTTTGTGAAAGACTCACAAAGGTGGGAAAGATTTGAAATTATGCTAAGTACAATCTCATCTTGAATAGCATCTGTGGGATAGTAGGCTGCTTAAAAGACAGCAGAATCCGTTTTCTGTTTGGAGCATTTGGAAGCCACTCAACAGCACATAAATCTACCTGTCTGTGCTGACAATGAAGAAGTTGTCCTTGGGAAGTTACAGTTGCTCTCCTGGAATTCCAGCGTCCAATATTGAGACTATTCAGGAAGATACAGAGAGCAATCTGCTGTGTCTGAATGATTTAACTTTCAGGGAATTGCTTCTTTAGTATCCAAACAGGCTTTAGTATGTATGAAGCCTCCACTCTTTGCTTTGTCAGACAGTAAGGATTTATTAATACAGATGTTAGATTGTTGCACAGTTGTGTCTGTTTAACTTTAACAACTTGCCCTTTATCAGAGCACATGCCTGGAATATGTGGCTTGGCCAGAGCTTCTGTATACCACTTAATGGAAGTGGTATGTCCAGATTTTTATTTTTGAACGAAAGCCTCCAAGTCATTTTTCAGCAATTCCAGGTCATATTTTATATCTGACAGCTGCTCAAATAACGAAATAACTTGTGCTGTAAAAAGGCATTGCTTTGCCATAAACTCTGTTGAATTTTCCCATGGGGGCCTCTCAGTATTCTGATTTTTGCATTTTATTTTTAAGCTTATTTTTATTTCCCTTGAAGTAAGCACGTGAACTAGCACACAGTGAGAGACACACAATGAGAGATTGGGAGAAAACCCAGATTCTCATTTAGCAATTCCCTGACAGATAGTGAAAGATCTAGCAGTATCTGATTTTTCCAGTTCTGTCTGAAGGTCCCATTCAAGTGATTCATGGGCTGCAAATTTGTTAAAGGTGGGAGGAAAATTTGTTTTACTTACAGATTCCTTTGTTCTCCTTTGAAATGTTATTCTAACTTTCCTTAGCAGACTTTGATGAAGAAAGGGAGCCCGGATTGATCCATGACGTTTCTTTCTTTTTCCCATGTTGTTCAAATCCACTCAGAATCTTTTACCTGTGCCTTTTGCCTCCATGTTCATCTCGCCCGAAGAAGTTATGATTAAATTTAAAAAGATCCAATAAGTCTAATAAAAATCGAATAAGTCTACTGTAACGTAGTATACTTATTTTAACTAAAAATTAGCTTTAAAAACGTAATTAAAATATAGTAATATAAATAAAATGAAATTGAAAGGGCAGGAGCTTGGAAAAACATGTGTTGCTGGGCTGATGTCATGGCTCCTCCTCCATGAAGACTCAAAGCGAGTCTGACTAGACATGGGTAAAACCCCATATTAGGGATTACCTTGTGACAATAAGGGTGGCAAAACATCAATATTTCTCTGCCCTTATTGCATCTGCTGATAGCCATCCAGCAGCCCTGTGTAGGGTGACCCAGCCCCTATTGAGCAGGGAGGCCCCCCCCCAGAACATCTGCTGGGCCATTGTGAGGATTATTCAGGCTATCTGGTGGATAAGGTTGATCAGATTCGCTTTGCCTTGGACTCTGACTGGGTAGAGCAGGCTGAAGTGCCTGGGGTATAGACTGGTATGATCTGGGATGAGTTTGACCTGGTAATTCCTGAGGAAGTGGTGTTGATGCTGTTAGCTTGTTTACTGGATCTCAGTCCTACCATGCTATAGTGTCAGCCTCTTTGATGGAGGGGGTGGTGCCCCCAGCCTTGTAAGAGGTGGTGGTGTGCCCCTTTCTCAAGAGGCTGCCCTTGGGCCCAATGGTCTTTGATAACTATTGCCCAGTTTTCATCCTTTCCTTTCTGGGAAAGGTTGTTGAGAAGGTGGTCAGGGTATACCTGATGAGAACCCTGGAGGAAACAGATTACTAGACCTGTTTCAGTCAGGTTTCAGGATGGGACTTAGTATTGAGACAGCTTTGGTCATGCTTGTTGTTGACCTGTAGGGGAGCCAGGATGACGTGGTGCATCCAGGCCTTGTGTTCCTTGATCTCTCAGTGGCTTTTGATACCATCGACCATGGTATCTGTAATGGCATGTGGGAATGAGCTTGGGAGACGGGAAAGAAATGCTGCCTAGGGAACTATCAGATAAGAGAGGGCATAGCTTGCACTGCATATTGGGCAGAGAATGAAACTCAGACAGGAATCTCCCTAACCTATCAGGCTGTAAAAGAGATGACGGGAGATTTGTACTTTCAGACTTGCAAGATTCTGTTAATGTAGCCTTACTATAAAGTAGAATTAGCTCATCTTGCCGTGTTTCCCATCTGGTCTACCTGGGAAGGCTGATGGTATCCTTCTGGACTGGCTCTGTGGGTTGGAGATCGAAGTACCATTTTATGGTGGTTGTCTTCCTTTCTCTGGGGCTGGGTCCTAGGTTGGTGGAGAAGGATTGTCCCCATGGCCCCTCAGTAGTGGGGTGCCACTGGGTTCTATTCTCTCTCCCTCCTTTTCAATATCTACATGAAACCACTGAATGAGGTCATCCGCTAGCTTAGGGTTCAGTAACATCAGTGTGCTGATAATACCCAATTACATCTTTCAACTCCAAGGCGGCCAAATGAGGCTGTCGAGGTTCTATTCCAGTGCCTGGAGGTTTGGATGGGGAGGAAATGTCTCTGATGGACATTTGGAGGTTTGGATGGGGAGGAAATGTCTCTGATGGACATTTGGAGGTTTGGATGG